AGGGGTGTGGCAGGATAATAAGGGCCCTAAACCCTGTTTGTCTGAAGCAGAGCAGCTGCCACTCCTACAAATATGCCAGAAATGCTGCTGCTGTAATCCTCGCATGTGATTGGCTGAGGATGGACGTGGCGTCATCAGGAAGTACCTACCAAACTGGTTAGCTGCGTCCGCTTTAGCGTAGAAAGATCTACGGCCGTGAGTCAACTAAACACCAACAACAAAGATGGTGAGAAAATACATTTTTCTAAACTCGTTTAGTAAAGAAAATACTTTTTGTATAATTACGGTAAAAATGCAAGGGACCTGGTAATTCTACGCTAACGCTATGTTGCTCAACTCATCCTACTAACAGCTTAGTCTGTCATGACTTCCGATGCATTAGCGCTAAAAATGTCGCTGTCTTGTTTTTCTCCTGTCCCACCTCGGTCTCATCCAATCTGCTTCAATCAGTCTGACTTCACAGAAGACCAGATTTTGGGTGAGTTAACGTTCATATCAGATTTGCAAAGACAATTTTAATTATTCAGCATACCGTTTTGGTATCATCTAGCTAATTTAAAAATAGGCTAAAACCCTGGCTTCTTAGCTCCACAGTTTCCTCAACAAACAACTTGATCCTTCAGGTAATAATAAACTGAATGAAATTCAGTTTGTGTGATGGTTTCAGCATGACTCGACCGGACATTTAACTTGATTTTTAAAATGCCGTGACCAGAGAAACATGTCTTGCATGGTGTGTAAACATCTTCACTTTAAACTTGTGCACTGTCACCAGTCTTATTCTAACCAGTYTTGTGTGCGGGTGCATTGAAGTGTTCACTCAGAGTTGAAACAACTGGAAATAGTTTGTGATGTGCAAGACAAGCARTTAGAAAACGTCCTATAAAGTCAGYTAAAATAAACTTTATAGTCCCAAAAGAAACTTAGCCTTAGGCCACATGCTGTTGTGTCAATATATTTGTAAAAACTTTTCTAGATTATAGTTGGAGTCAAAGCAGTTTAATGTAATCRATGCAAATTACGTGGTTCAACAACACAGTCGATCGTACTGTTTAGTTTTAAAAGTATTCAGAAACCATTTGTTAATAAATGCATTTAAACTAATATTAAGTATATTTGATAAATCTGATCTAGTCAGCTGGCTGAATTAATTATGTATTATTATTTGAGCACAGATCTTATTTGTTAGTCAAGATGATCACTTTATTAGCTCTTCATCAGTTTTTGGATCAGAGCAAAAGAAGAACATTTTGATCTCTTCCAAAGGCTTAAATTGTTGATGTGCTGTAAAGAAGTATTAGCTTAARGTAGTAGGTACACAACCTATAGGTGAACTAGGATTACAAAGAGTTGTGACACGTGAGCCTAAAATGATTTGGAGGCAAAACAATTACTAACATATATGATTAAGTAAAAGAACAGTATTTAAAACTCATTTGTGTGTTTGGTTTTTGAGCTCCGATATGAAACTGCTGTAAAGGCATTGTGGGGTGTTCAACAGGTTCATTAATCGGTTGCGTTAACAGCTTCAGGCGAATCACAAACAGATATGTCTGAAATGTTTCTTCTTGCATTTGTGTGTCTGTGTTAGAGTTCAAGGAGGCCTTCCTCTTGTTTGACCGTACGGGCGACGGGAAAATCGCCTACAGCCAGTGCGGTGATGTGATGCGAGCCCTTGGCCAGAACCCAATCAATGCTGAAGTCCTCAAAGTTCTTGGAAACCCCAAGTTAGAAGGCAAGCATGTCCTTTCTCCAGTCACACAGAGAAGTTTTAGTTTCTGCTCTGTCTTAGCTGCTAGGTTGCCTGGTATTCAGGTGAAGCCTCAGATGCTTCGTACAACCAGAATAATCCGTTTTGGTCAAATGATTGACGATTTTGTTTTGCATCCTGCAGAGATGAACCACAAGATGCTGGACTTTGAGCAGTTCCTGCCCATGTTTCACGCCATCGCTAAGAACAAGGACCAGGGCTCGTTTGACGATATCGTRGAAGGATTGCGTGTTTTTGACAAGGAGGGAAACGGGACAGTGATGGGGGCGGAGCTGCGTCATGTCCTCACCACATTAGGTACTCGTGTTCTTGCCACGTGTTGCACAAAAATAACTTTCTCTTGTCAAAGAAATGGATAACAGCTACCTCCTTTTATTTATTTTTCATCTATTTATGTGTTTCAGGTGAAAAGATGACAGAAGACGAGGTGGAGACTCTTTTAGCAGGACATGAAGACGCCAACGGCTGTATTAATTATGAAGGTAACGCAGGTTAAAGATCAGTTTTAGGTCATTTTGCTGTGATTCTTGGATCAGAGAACTTTTATCAGCACTGAATAATGTGGGTTTATATATACATGTATCTGACACACCTCCATCTTTCCTCACAGAGCTTGTCCGGATGGTGATGAACGGTTGAGGACGTTTCCAATTTTTCGTGATTTTTTTGTAATATTGGTCTCATCTTACCCTTCCACTCATGTCATCCTACCTCCACTGTGTCTGTTTTATTGATACTGTAGACTTTTTTTTTTAAGGTGTCTTTTCTGTCCGATGTGAAGAGACTTTTCATCTCGTATTCCAGATATTTTTCATGTTTGCAGGCACAATCAGTGATCCCCTGATGGATTTATCTTTGTCAGTCAACCCCAGTCTGTCTTTTCTTTTTGATGGATATGATAATYTGATGTTACAATAAAAAAAATGTTGAAATAAAAAAAGGTTTACATCGTTTCATTTTGTCTCTAAAAATTATATTCAAAACATAGAGTTGAGCTGAAAAATATTAATAAGTTTGTGAAGGTATAAAAAAGGCAAGTTGAATAATAATTTCTCTTGTTTTCATGTTGAGGGAGGTGCTTCATGATCACTGTTGGGTCATAATGGCGCAGAGTCGAACACTTTTTATACTCAAGTAAAAACATGTTTGAATTTAACCTGTTGACTCAATGGGAGAAAAAAAAAGTCAAGTGCATTCTGAAAAATAATCATCTAGTGGCTGATTTACCACCTTGTGTGATTCATGTCACTCAAACCACCGAACACAATGTCTCCTCTTCACATCTTTATTTTTTTCCTCAAACGTTTTGTAACTAAAACCTGTTTGGATTTTTTTCTCTTTTTAATACAAACTGCGTTACTGTCAGCACTAATGTGATGATTCACAGAGGAAAAAAAAACAGATTTCTACTGTATAATACCTGCTGCTGCTGCTACCTTCAGCAGCGTGAAAAACATACAGAAAACTGAGCAGACACTTATTTCATATCACAAAATGCACACAATGTAGTAATAACACAGATAAAAGATGTCCATTTATGCTCACAGCTGCAGTGAGGACAGTAATACTGGCTTCATGGACATTTAACTGCAAAGTTCCACCATCTGATGGGAGTAAATATGACACTGATGTGACCATGTGCAGAGCAAAGCATGTTTTCTTTCTTTCTTTTTTTTTAAATCATCAGACTCGATTAACTCACAACTGATGGCACTTAAATTAAAAACTGATTGGTAACGTGGTTTACAGGTCTTAATGGCATGTACACATGAACAGTCACGTCTCAAAGATTCAGATCTCTCTCACACACGCATGAAGGTGGAGGGTAAATACAGGCTACAAAGATAATATACAGTTACAATGTTGAGATATAAAAAAAATGACAAAAATGACATAAAAATATAAAAAACTGTCAGGATAAAAAGTGAGGATATCGTTGCAGATATTACTGACATAATTCTCAGTTATGAGCAGTTTTAAGGTGTTCCCTTGTTGACAGCATTAATGTTTCTTCCAATTTTAAAGTGAAACACAGCAAAAAAAAAATAAAAAAAAAGTCGCTGAAGATCCCCCTTTACTTCCCAAACAACCACAATAAAAGTCACTGAATAAACATGGTAAACTTGATCTATAAAAGCAGTTGGTTTAGGTAACGCACTGTCCAGATCTGAATAGGTTCACCGTATAATCCTAAAAGATTCAGTCATTTCTTTTGAACTACATTCTTCACTTCCTTAACAATCTGGATGTTTAGAGTTCATCCACACTTGCAAAATACTGACATGTTTTTTTCTATAAGTGCTCGGTTTTCAAAGGGAGGTCTTGTCGGGACCCCAAGCTTACAGTATTTCTTTTTAAATACTTTACGTAACATCATAAAATGATAGTAAAAGCTGTTTGTAACAGAAAATCCAGTTTACAGTACATTTTTCCTTAAACTGCATCCAAGCTTAGGTTATTTAATTTCAAACTGGCATCTTCAATTGAAATCTTTTCCTTCATTACAGACTTTTGGGCGTGTAATGTTTCAGGCTTGACCCTGTGGAAAAAACATGTAACACATCAAATGTGGAGGAATATCGAATGTTTCTGTTTGATTTTCCAAACTCTTCTATAGGTCAAAGTGTTTAAAACAACAAAACAAATATATAAGTGCTAAAGTTCAATTAGATGGATACTTCCAGTCTTTCAGCAAGACCTTGGGAAATGTTAAAAGTGCTTTTTGTTTTACACGTTTCCTAATTCGTACCTTAAGCACAAGGGGAGGGCTCCGGAGAGCTCATGATAAACTAGACTCCATGAATTATGACAAACTGCTGTAAAAAAACAAATTTAAACAATAATCAAACACAAGATATGTTATTTGTTCTTCTAGAGTGCTGGCATGTTGATAATCTATGTAACCAGATATTCTGAGTTGACCGTACATTTTTGATTTGAGACATTTCTCCCCAGTCAACCACAAAGGATGAAAATCAATTTTCCCTTAAAAGTTGACAATTTGTAACAGACTTTTTTTTTTCACACAGTCAACAGACATTTACATTTATTTTTCTGTCAAACATTAATTTTCCATTTGGAAAAAGTAAAATACTGAACATGAAAAATGTGTTTGTCATCTTTCAGCTGATAACTTCTTCATTTCAGATGATGCAGGCAGGTTTTGAAATGATCAGTCATTTGGATTCTCATGTGGGTTTTTTTTTTTGTTTGTTTGTTTTTGTTTTTCTCACTGTGGTGGGGGGACGGGAGCTGACGGGTGGAGCGTCTCCCCTGGCAGAGGAGCGTTGGACTCTGTGAGGGTGAAACAGAAGATTTTATTTAGTTCTTAATCTCTGAATACGACCACAGGTACAACTAATCAGTAGTGTCACAGCTAACCAAAAAAAAAAAAACTAGGTTCACTAACCACTAATCCACTAAACAAGAATCTTAGCCCCACTGACAKTAAAATGTTAAACCAATTAAAAATTGGTGGAAGCTAACTGCTAAGACGACTGTCATTCAGTCCATGTCTTCATCTCCTTCCAGTTGAAGACTGCTGGGACCGACACAAACCTGTTAGTTTTCTACTGGTTTAATTTGAAAGTGGGATTATCTGTGCCAGACTGCCAATCCAAACCAGAGTTTAGCTCCATCTAACTTGTGCTACATAAAGATTACATTTTATTTCTTTCTGACAATCTTAGTTTGAAGTTTAGCTGCTAAAGATGCTACATGCTACAAAAACGGMGCCTAACACGTGTAACACTGCTTGTAAGAGGGGATAGTTTTTATTTAATTTGGGATAAACGGCATAAAAATTGGAAGTTCTACACCTGTGACTTGGTCCATTAACAGTTTCCAAAGTTAGCAAAAAAAATAAGTAAATAAATGAGAAGCTAATTTGCTATTATTGGATTAGCATTAGATCTGCGCCCACCACTGCAACTCGTTCAACAAAATGATAACTCCTAAAGTTAAGGAGCTAAATTAAAGTTCAGAACCTGCTGGTTTTGCTTTTTAAACATGAAGTTTACATACAAGAATCTGTAGTCATTTCAACAGAACACTGTAGATGATATTAACACTGCTTTAWGTTTATCATGAAGTGTCACTGGTGTCTGGTCTGCTGACATGTTCCAGTTCTAAATGTGTAAAATGTGACAGTGAAACAAAAACATGGCAGTAAAACAAGCTTCTATATTATTTTTTGTATCACTGAATAATCAGAAACTACAACATTTAACTGACCGTGGAGAACAGGTGTAGAGCTGGAGCTGGAGTGAGGGGCCGGGGCTTGGCCTGGGGGGCATGGAGGTGAGGTGTGAGCTCCTGGAGGTGGCTGGGACTCAGGTGCTGGGGCAGAAGAGGACGGAGGCGCGGGGCTGGGTGCCGCCTGTGACGCTGGTGTGCTGGGAGCTGGCTGACCTGCAGTCGGGCCTTGGGGTGGTGGGCCTGGGGTGGCCTGGTTGGAGTGAGGACCCCCTGCCTGGCTGTGCTGCTGGTGCTGAATCTGCTGGAAGTGCTGCTGCCGAGCCCTCATTTCAGCGTATTTCAGCTGCTCCATGTGGAAAGACTGACGGTCAGCCAGCAGCTGCTGACGCTGATATTCGAGCTGGAAACACAAACGTATCTCAAATGATGTGGCAAAAACAAACACTAACTTTGAAAACATTGTAATTAGGTGACTTAAAGACAACACGTGCTGAGTTCCCTCACTTACGGCCTCCCTCTCTCTGTCCATGATCGTTTCCAGTTCTTCAAAGTGTCGCAGTTTAATCTCAAGCTTCTTCATTTGCGTCTCCACCAGCAGAGCCACCAGAGATTTGATCTTTCTCTCCTCCACCGCGGCCAAATGCTGCGAACAAAGTGAAGGAGGATCTGAGACTTTAGAAACTCCAACAGAGGAAGGTGATGAATGAATGTTAGCACAGTGATATAATTAGCTTCACCTTGGCTTTGACAGCAGCGGCGGCTAAAGCGGAGGCGGCAGCAGTTGCCAGGTTCCCCTCTCCCACGTCACGCTCAACCTTCGCCTTCCTCTCTCCTTCAATCTCTCCTTCTCTTTGTCCTTCTTCTGTTCCCTCTTTTGCATCTTTCTCCTTTTCTCCATCGCCTAAGTGAACAAAACGTTTTAATATTTCTTCTTACCAAAATTTTTATTTGTTGTTGTTTTTTTTTTGGATGAAACTTTTCATACCCATGTCAGCCTCCGTTTTTTCTGCCTCCCTCTCTCCTTCAGGTTCTCTTCCTCTGTCTTCTTCCTTTTTCCCGTTTTCCACCTGCTTCTCCTCCTCCTCTATCGCTCCATCTTTACTATCCTAAATTAAAAAAAGAGAAACTATAATAAGAACCAGAGTTGTAAAGTAACTAAGCACAAATATTTTGTTACTGTACTTAAGTAGAATTTTTGGGTATCTGTACTTTACTAGAGTAATTATTTTTCAGCCTACTCTTTATATCTACTTCTTACATTTTCACACAATTATCTGTACTTTCAAGTCCTTACATTTTWAAAAAAGGCAAMAAGTAGAAAGTCGTTACTTTTATTTCATTTTTGCTTGTTTTCATTCCAGCTTGTTATTGTAAAAAATAAATACTGTTACTATCCATATAAATTGTGCCTCCTAGATAGAGTGAATTTAATTATGGTTGAATGAGAAGTATAAATACATAAAATTCTGATACTGTATTAATTTGTACACAAACAAACCATGTCACACTCCAGCAGGACATAATCATTAAAATAAAAGGACTGTACTTAAGAAGTATTTGTATTTCATGAATTATATTATTGTATTTGCCTGCAGCCCTCAGATAGATTTTCATTTTGGGGAAAGGTTTGGGCAGCCTTGATATACGTATATGAACTGAAACAGCTGGACTAGTGCATCATAAATCATCATTTCTGCATTTTTGGGAGGAGGTCACCTCCTAATAAATGTCATTATAGAAAACCTAACTGCTCATTTTAAATCAATACTTTTACTTTTAATACTTAAATACAAAAAACATCAGATACTCTAAGACTTTTACTCAAGTAATATTCCTAAAGGAGACTGACTTTTACRAAAGTAATTTTTTGGTAAGGTACTTGTACTTTTACTCAAGTATCACTTTGTGGTACTTTATACAACACTAATAAGAACTACAGTTTGATAATTCAGCATTAAGTTTCTAGTGAACAAGCAGCACCTTAGTGTCTCTCTTCTCTTCATTTGATTGGCTGTCACTCTTACTTTCATCACTGCTTTCATCTAAAGAGAAAAAGGTGAGAAATGTTTACAGTTTTGGGTCATTATTATTATTATTTTTATTTTTCCTGCCAGTGTTGAGTGTGTGTTCACCCTACCAGGCCTTTCTCCCTCCTCCAGGCCAGTGCCTGCGATGCCACTTCCCTCCAGGCCGTACAGAGGATCCTGTCGGCCGCTGACCCTCGCTGCTTCCTCCACCCGCCGTACGTGAGCCTCAACAAGTGCTGCAGGAACCTCCTCCTTCATTCGCGAGAATTCCTCTGAGAACACCAGCATGCAGTCAGGTCTGGATTGTTTATTGTAAGTCACTGCAGGATATATGAACTACAACAGATGAACCAGAAATCTGCAATGTTTTTACATTATTTAGATAACTGGAGAGTTAGTTTCATCAGATCTGTGTACTTATGAGCAGCTATTAGAAGGAAAGTGACATTTTAAAGACACCGGAGACGGCTTCTTCTTACTATAGATAAACAGTTTTGCAGATTTTCTGGTAAACMTGAGTCCTATTAGCTCAGCAATATTTTGCCTACAATACATTCTCACATAAAAAAACAATGATTAAAAAAAGTCCTAATCTCACCGAGTGCAGATTTGGCTGCAGCTGAGGCCACACGTGGGTCAACTACAGAAGCAAGGAAGGCCACCGTGCTCATGACAGGGTTTCCTGCTTGGCTGAAAGGTATCGGCTGGTAAGCCAGCGGGCCCATAGTTGAGGAGCTGTCCTCCAAATACGGGTCTTCGATGGGCAGCCGCAGGAAGTGCAGGATGCACTCATCTTGCGTGCGGCTGCCGACGTGCTCAGACACCTTGTTCCAGTCGTCTTTGTACATCTCCAGACCCTGACAGAAGGGAAAACTTCATTAGTCCCACCCGACGGACAGGAAACCCAGCTATAAGACCGTCACAGGCAAATTAAAAGAATGACTATACCTCAAGTAGTAGTAGTGTTTCTTGCTCTGTCCAGTCCCTCATTGAGCTTGCTCCATTCTTGCTCTGCACACAAAAAACATCAACACTTTCTTAATGCGAGTCATAAATTAAGGAAAGTCAAACAGCAAATGTAGCAAAACAGTCGCTTTGCTCCTCTTACATCGCTTGAGAAATTAATGATTAGGAATAAATCAAGAKAGGGCATTATCTCAGACTTATATAAAGTGTTGGTTTCTAATTCAATGAAAATTCAAGTAAAAAACTTCTGAACTGGAACATGGATCATCAACAATTAATGAACAGGATTGGGAAAGGATTGGGAAAGGGCCTGCACTAAAATACATACAATGTCCATACATAGCCGGTTTAGAATATTACAATTTAAATGGATAATGCGTGTGTATGTCACGCCAGTGCATTTAAATAAATATAATAATAACATCCCAGATCTTTGTGTAAAGTGAAATTCAAAAGGGACTTTAATACACTGCATGTGGGAGTGTAGAGAAATCAAAATGTTTTGGACAGAGGTGAAAGATATAACTGAAAAAAATTCTCTCAAAACAACTTCCACTGGATCCTAAATTATTTATGTTGGTGTTGTATCCTGAGAAACATAATTTTAACAAAACAGAATGTACCTTTATTGATATAAGCTTACCGGTATCTGCAAAAAAAATGTATAGCTCTGGCCTGGAAAAATGTCAATACACCTAGCGCCACCCAGTGGTTAAAACAGATGCTATCTAATTTACCACTGGAAAGAATAATATACATGATTAGGAAATGCAAACAAGAGCTTTTTGAGAAGATTTGAGGTCCTTTCATTAACTTTATCAAGAACACGGACTTGTTGGAGGACTAGCTGAAATATTGTCTTGCTGGAACCGACAGTTTTCCAAGCTGAACAAATGTACAAATGTATCTATTATGCCTGCTAATGCTTAATTACCCCAGTTTTGAGAAGCTGTGTTTTGTTTTCTATTTCATTATTTTAATTTAATTTTTTTAAATTTATTTCTATTTTTATTTTTGTTATTGCTTTTCTAAGACATGAGAATATACATTTACAAAATTTGTTCAGATCACTTTTCTTTTTTTGTTTTTGTTTTTTGTGAAGTGAAAATTTCAAAAAAAAAATTTGGGAAAAAAAAACAGTCACTTTGACCGGTCTGTGGTACATTTTTTACCTTTGTTGATCCAGATTTCTTGCTGTACATGTCGGTTCGGAGCCCAAAGTTTTGCAGATCTGCTGGTTTTTCCTTGACCTTATCAGGGAATGACATCATCGGCTGGGTGGCAGGAGTCTGATGGTGGACCGATGAAAAAGTGGACAGTGTAAAAGAACTTCAGGACACGTGAGTTTACACACTTGCATAGATGTTTTTACAGACCTGTGATGTTTTGGGCTGCAGGGGCACCAGACTTGAGGGAGTGTCTGCGAGGACATGGAAGTGAGAGGTGGGTGGCGGTCCCATGGGAGTGGGTCGACTCTCAGAGTCCACCTGGTAGTTGATCAGTCCCCATTGCTCCAGAAAAGCGTGCACTCTGCAGAAAAACGAGGAGATAGTTTGTCACGGGAGGCGTGTTAGATCTGCGACAGAATGAGACGTGAAGGCGAACCGACCTCATGATGGCGCACACGTCTCCCGCCAGGTTCCTGCGGCACGCAGTGGAGGTCAGGTACTCCTGAGGGTTCAGTCGGTAGGTGTCAATCATGAAGTTTCTGTATGCCAGATAACTAAAACAAGGAAGGAAGTTGTTTGAAATATTTCACACACTTTACTTTTAATTGTTCGGTGGATCAAATCCGACAAAGAAGCGCTTCCTTTAGATCACATACTTACATCTCTGGGGTTTTGGATTTGTTCTTCCCATTAAAAAATTCTGGCAGGGCTCTACGCTCGATGGCATGAACACTGCAGATAAAAGAGTTACACGTAACAGTCTCACATAAATGACAAAGATGAAATCAGCTGACTTTAGATGAGTTTGTACCTGTTGTAGTCGAACCAGGCAGCGTAGCTTGGTATGATGATGTGGTGGGTTTGCTCAGTCACGTTGTCCTCATGAAGGTCGGAGCCCTTCACAGGTTCACCCTTCACACTGGGAGAGCCTTCCTCCTCGTCCTGCTTAAACGCACCAACACTTCAGTTAACACAAATCCATCCATTTTATTTGATTTTGTGCGTGTTGGTGTTAGTTTCACTTTTGATGACTAATACCTTTCCTGTTGTTTCCATAGACTCGTCCTCCTGCTCATCTGCTCAAATCACACAGAACAAAAGATTTATAAAAACAAACTGAGCTGGAAACATATTTAAAATCACATTATACAACCTCTATCTAAAGATATACATCACTGACTTTATAGTGAAAACATTTAACAAACATTTAAACGAGCTCACCCATTTCTGTTCCTCCTTTGACCGGAGTTGAATCTGAATCTTTCTTAGTGTTATCTGCAGTGACAGGGTCAAATTTCTTTGTTTAGCATATTTAAAAATGCAAAATGGTTTACCATTCACCTAAACTAAGCAATAAAATGTAGTACACAAAACACTATTATATAAAATGTAACTGAAATTGTAAAAGAAACAACAAAAAATGAACAGAATAATATACAAAAGATCTATTTAGGTGTCAAACCCTGCTTGAGTTATTATGTGAGTCTGGTTTGTAAAAATTATTTGACAGTTTAAGAATCTTTAGAAGTTTCTAAGCGTACTTGTCTTCGCTGTGTTTCCCTCTTCAGATGTTGGAACCGGTGAAGCTTCATCCAGATCTTTGGACAGATCCTCCTGCTCCTCCTCCCTTTGACCCCGTTTAGATTTAGTGTATGGTGTTGTTGGCCTGTCAACACGTAACAAACGTTTTATAATAAAATCTAATTTTATATAAACAAAACGCAACAGTTCCTTTACGGTGTCGGTGCAGGAGAACCTTTTGTTTTTCTTTTGGATTACCTGTAGATCTTTACAATGATTCACTGAAAGAACCAGACAGTCCTGCCTTTATAGAGCCATGTTTTTGACCAAAATATTTATAAGTTAAAGGGATCCATGATTAGTTGTAACATTAGACTTTATTTAATAAACATATTTTAACTGTAAAATAAAGACTGTAAAAATACTGTAGGCTGTTTAGGTTTTATAATTTTTAAAGGAGACCAATTATGGGTCCTAGAAATTTTTATGGTATGTCTGTGGGCTATTCAGACCGTGTTCATTCCATTTAATGCACAAAATAATTGTCAGATAATAAAATTTCCCATTTTCTAGTTCTGCCTACTCTGACTTCCATTCAGAAGAACTGTTTATGTTAATGAGCTCTGTTGGTAACGCCCTCCAAAGCCAGTGTTTACGTTAGCATGGCTAATAATAGCAGAAGCTCCGTTGTACAACCATATGAGACCCTGAGTCAGACCCAGAGGCAGAGTCATGGTTGCAGCTTCTTTTTTTTTCTCCCTCCTCTGCTCTGCCCTCACTGCATGCTGTTACCAGAGCAGGGAGCAGCAGCAGTGGTCAAAATACCTCAGAAACTCGAACAAATAGGCTTTAACAAGGCTTTAATAAGCTAAACAATAGAGGTACATGAGAAAATGTGTTCATAACAAATGAAAATAAATAAATAATTAAATTATGTCCATGCCTGTCTCGAACCCTGGTCTCCTCTCCCACTCTCTGATCCAACACTCTACCCATTACCCTATCAGAGGCTTGTTGTGAATTGAGCTGCGGATTGCACAACAACACGGTGACGGCTTTTTATATTGAGGAGGAGGAGTCTCATCCGGGGGTTGCTACATAAGGGGCTGAACGCAGGTTCCAGTGGGTTGTCGTACGGCTTGTGACATCAACTAATAACGGAAGTATAAAACTTGTCGTTAACATACATTAAAAATACATTTACTTACAGTAAATGTGCCCCTGGGTGCATTTTTTGGTCCTAGGACTGTTTTTTTTAAGAAGTACCTACCCAAAGTTGAGTAAAAAAAGCTTTACAAAGTGAATTTACATAATAGGTCCCCTTTAAACTAAAAGTTTAAAAATATACTGTATTACATGGATGGGGRCATTTTATTTATATGCAAAGCATTCTGGGTAAATTATAACGTGGATAGGCCATCGGTGTGAGGTTGCTAGCGAGCTATATCCACCCTGAAGGTTAATCTTGGACAATATCTGACGATCGACTCTTTTAAATGAAACCAGAGAGTGTTGACAGAGAGGAGAAGGTAGAAATGACTCAGCCTGGAACTGAAAATATGGATGGAGGACAACAGAGCTGCTTCATGGAAGAAGAACCTCAGCTTAGCCTGTTAGCTTTAGCACTAGCCCCAATGCTATCACCATATATATGTATTAGCTCAGCGCTACACATTCTCCTCTCGTCACTGAGGTCCTCCATCCACATGACAGAGAGGGGAACACAAAAACTGAAAAATTTTTACAGTCTTTATTTTACAGTTAAAATAAATGTTTATCAAATAAAGTCTAATGTTACAACTAATCATGGATCCCTTTAAGAATTTTTTTGTGTTCTGTAAAAGTAGCTGGAATCAGAGGCAGGGCTTGAAATTTTACTTTTGAACTTTAATTTAAAATTGGGAAAAACAAATTCAAGAGCTTTAATCAAACTGAATATGCACGTGAAGTTGAGGACTACCTGCTTTACAAGGTACTTTGTGACCAGCTTAACTGCATATCTGCTTGAAGCTCCTATATTATTGTTCCTCCTAACCACCATTCTATCAAAAGCCTTCAACAGCTGTGGAGTATGGCTGGAATGATGTGGATCCGTACCCTTTTTTGGTGTTCTTCTTCTTGCTCTCCTGAGGCGGAGGCGTGGGGGAGGGCGACGGCGAGCGCTTCCTCTTCTTGGCACTGCCGGGTTTCTTGTCCCTCCGCTCYTCTGGTGTGGTCACCTCGTCTGTGAGTGTCTTGGCGGAAATCCTCTTCCTCTTAGGACAGCCCTCTCCCACCTCATAGTCCTCCTCATTCATCCACTCGTTATACTGGTCCAGGTCTAAAATCCACTTTGCGTGGACCTGTCGACAAAAGTATTCCAACATTTTCAGTAAGCCAGCAAAGGGCAGTGTCGCCATCTTGTAGCATTTTGAAGTTTAACCAGGCAGAGAACGTCTACAGGGACTTTGATAGAGTGTTAGCTTCATTTCTAGACCTTTTAAATAAAACAATCAGTAGAGAAGGAAAAAAATGTTAATTTGAAGAGCCGCAAGACACAAACTAAAATACTAGGCTAGTTTTTTACTGCTTTGAATTTATGGCTCAAAAAAATCCCCAGAGCAGACAATATTGCTTCAAGTGCCACTTTACAACAAAAACGTCATTTTGAGTATTTTGATGCGAATGAAAAACAAAATGTCCACTTGCAAAACAAAACAATTGTTCATGTTCTGCAGACTGGAACATCATTTGTTTTTAAAGCTAGTTAAAAAAACAGATGATTTCAAAACATATCCTTGCAAACTGGGATAATACGAATGTATCTTGATGTTAAAAAAACATGTTTTACTCAGTGCATACATTCTTTAAAGCGTGGACACTGATCATAAAGAATATGATTAATTACTGTTCAAAGCCTTACAGACAGTTCCTGTTAGTTCCTACAGTTTTAATAAAGTTGTTTAAGTAAACTGAGAAGTACAGTGACTGAAATGTAGAGACAAAAGYTAACAACATTTACTTTTCTGGGCTTTTCTGGGCTGGGAGCATCCTCCACTGCTGCCTCAATCTCACTGGCAGGGATCCAGGTGTCATAACTAAAGACAGCCAGAGGAACAAAATTTAGAATGAGAGAATAACACAGGAAGAGCAATGTGTAGGCTCAGTAACGTATTCAAAGACTTAATAACAAACAAAATAATAGTAATATAAGAAAGGTACAGCGCTTAAACTTAAAACTTGTCAAAGTTTGTTTTTTCCTTCATGATTTGAATAGATTTTTTTATTCATGTTATTTTATGTTTACTGAAATGCCATTGCCTCTAGATGTCCTCTATAGTTCTTGTTTTCAGCTCATTCCACACCTTCTGTTTACCATTAATAATCAGCACACCTGTTATTATTCCGTGATCATATCCAGGGTTCCTACAGCTTAAGGCAAGTTAAATCTAAGACTTTTTAATACTTTTTAATGCCACTTGAAAGGAAATTTAAGACCAACTTCACAATAAACACAAATGTGAAAAAAATAAAATAAATAAAAAAAACAGTTGGAAACAATTTTACCCAAATGTTTATCTTAACACAAAATAACTAGCTGCGGTAAATTTGGTAAATTGTTTTAAAAAATTAATAAATAAATGTTACCAATTATTTTAYTGTTTGAGACAAATACAATAATTCTACTTACAATGTGTTAAGATTTTATGACCTCTGAAATATTGATTTAAGACATTTTAAGACTAATTAAGGCCTTATTTTTGGATTGTGTATTGTATATTGTCTTTTAAGACTTTTTAAGGATCTGCAGGAACCCTGATATCTCCTGGTKAAAATAAACTCCTTTATTAAGCTTCACACATCTGGCTGGTTTGCTTGTTTGTTAAGTCTTGTTTGTTTCTGAGACTCGTTTGTGTCTGCATGTAGCTCCTGCTACAACTCCATTTATAAAAAGCGACAGAACTGTGTTCAAGCTTGTATATTTAGATAAAAATAACAGTTTTAGACTGAACTTAAAAAGCTGACAGATGTTCATCGATTGTCTGAATRATTACACAATTCTCATTCACAAAAAAAATGAGGCATCAACCCAGAACAAACCTGTCTGGAAAATATCCCCAGTGGAGCAGAACTTGCTTGTCTCTCTTCATCACAGGGCGCACCCACTCCTCTGGAACAAAAACGTGGCGTTGTTTGAGCACGAACGTTACTCGTGCAGCAGGWTTCAGAACAAACGTTTGATTTTAAACCCTCACCTTCCTCCAGACTGGTTGGAATGGGCACCACAACATGAGAGCTGGAGACCTTGTCCTCAGTCACTGAGCCCTGCAACTCAGGAAGAGTACGGAAATTACAAACCCCTATTTTTTTTTTTTTTTTTACAAAAAGCTTTTCAGTGTACTGTAACTGTGAATATTTCCGCACATAATACCTTTAACACACAACATAAACCCCACCTGATGCCTTTTGATGATGTCTTTCAGTTTTCCAAGCAGCTTTGGTTCAATGTCAGAACTCAGGTAGATGACAGGTCTACTCAGGCAGTTGTTCTGTAACAAAGGGAGCAGACGCCATTTTTAGACTAAATATACAAACGTCAATTATATTTACTTTTATTATGACTCAAAAACAGAACTTAGCATTTACGGATGACCTAATCTAAGAGATKTTGTAAGTATGTCAGACTGATTATGAAGGATTACTGCGACCGGGCATACTTTATTTTTTTATCTTTTAATCTCAGTAGCCTGATTCTGAAGACACTCGTGACATAACAAAAGAAGACAAGTAATCTTTCCAACTCAGTGATTATTAGACCCAGAGCCTGCAGAAAAGAAAAGCACCAAAAATTGGTTGTTTCAAGCAAAATCATGAGTGAAAGTTATTTTCACTCATGATTTCACTCATTA